GACTTCAGGTCTGGTTTAGATCATTATTATTTATAAATTTTATATTTTTCTGTTATAAATCTGCTGCTTAACATGATTGTTGAATGAAATTAACAATTATTAATTTATTGTAAAAACATGACAGATAATCTGTGAAACAGATCTGGTTCAGCTGCTGTTTATCTATTAGTTTCTATGGAGGCTGTGAGCTGTTGGCCTGTTTGGTCTGTTTCTGCTCCTCCATGCTGTCACAGACACTACCAGTGGACGGTATAGGCGGGGCTCAGTCTAGTGGTCTATATATTTAAGTCTACGGTCCCGCCCTTTTTAAGATTCTGTTGAGTCAGCAAGAGCAAATATTGTTAAGTCCCGCCCCCCTTTATGATTCTGTTGCATCAAGAGGAAGTCTCGCCCTTTTTATGATTCTGATGAGCCAGAGTAAGTGAGACAACTTTGTTTCTGACATTTTGTTTCTGTTTTCTCACAGCWCCGATGGATCAGCCATGCTGTCGAGCGCTCTACGACTTCGAGCCGGAGAACGAAGGCGAGCTGGGCTTCAAGGAAGGCGACATCATCACCCTGACCAATCAGATCGATGAAAACTGGTACGAGGGCATGATCAACGGCCAGTCGGGGTTCTTCCCCATCAACTACGTGGATATCCTGGTGCCGCTCCCGCATTAATTTCCACCAGCTGCTCGATGCTTGTCCCGTCTCGACCAATTCAGACACCCGGAAAACAGCCTGTATTTGCAGAAACAACRAACCACACCCTCTTTCTACTTCTTCTTCTGTGCTTCTGTGTGATTCTGCTTTCACGAAAACGGACCWAAATCGAGAGTGGCTCCGGACAACACAAGACTTTATAGAGCTAGAAGGAGCAGAGGAGGGTTGTGAAGCGAGAGACACGGTAAGAAGGACTGAGAGAAACGAGAAGATGACCAGGTGATCGTGTTTCGGAGCCTGGTGCTCAGCCTGGCAGCCCTGGACACCGACGAGGCTCTGCAGACTTCAAAACAAGGCACAGTGTTTACGTATGTATGTGCATGTCTGTACKTGTGTTTCAGCCTGTTCGTACTCTTATAATGAAGCCAACACATTCCTGCTTGACACACAGATGATGGCTTTCTTCTTACTTCCTCTTGAGGTTTCTGTCTTTTCTACCTTGCCTTTTTGTGCTTTCCTTCGTTCCTACATTTTTCAGCAACCGTCACAGTTGGCCCTACTTTCTATCCGCCTCTGTCCTTTCTTTCTACCGTTTGTTGGCTAGCACTGCCTTTTAGCATGGCTCCATACTCTACAGAGACGACCGTCTCATATTCCAGAGCTACAGGTGGCCGTCGGACCTCCCTGTTATTGAGAATATCTTGTCTTCGTTCTAGCTCTTCTTGTTACGAACTCTGCTTTTCACAGAGTGTGCGTACGATTTCAGTTCAGTGGTTGGATGCATGACATGGCCACATTAAAGGTGATTAGACGCCAGGGACATTAAGCTTTCAGGAGYGTGTCTGGAATCAAGCTGTACTTGTAATAAGTTGTTTTCCAGGGTGAAGTCACTTGTTTTGAACCCTTTTTTATTGAACTGAAYGTTTAAGAGGGGTTTAAAAGCTTGTTGTGTGCCCCACAACCATCAGCTAGAACAAAAAGCAAACAGCAGTTTGAGTACACAATGAGGTAAAGAAACTAATTTAAGATGGTATATGTTCACAGTTTGAAGAGTGCRAAGTGGATAGCAGTTGGATGATTTACAAATATTTTAACAACCTTTTCTGTTACAACACTAATAAGAACCTGTTTTTATGCTTTATTGATCACTGCCATTCACAGTTTGAAAGATCCCATCAAAAACAAATTCAACAAATGTTGATGTTTTTATACGAAATCGATTAAAAAAAATCTGACATTATTATAATCTTGGAAAGTTGATGGCTCCTTTAGTATACCAGAACCCAGCTTTACTTATCCACACATTCCACCAAATWTAGGCTTGTCAAACCAACAAACTTTGGCTGTGATGTTAGTCAAGCCTTTTATTGGGCATCTGTTGGTTTGACTTCTTTAATGTCAGCATTTTCATCAAAGCCAACCAGGACTACATTTTTATCTTTCAAGGAAGACCAAACGAGTGAGAACACACTATTTCCATAGAACATCCTGGAACTGTGGTTCTTAAACCTGTATTTACACAAGCTTCCTCTAATGGCGCACCCAAAATAATTAAATTACCTGATTTACAAGTTTGGCTAACAGCTCATACTCCCTTTCCACAGGACTGAGACCACACAGGGTTCGATGAGCACTCCATGATCTCTGAGGTCTTCCAGGGATTCCTGATCTTTCAGTAAACGCCATGTTCTCTGTGGTCTAAATCAAGTTTTGAACTGTTGCTGTTGGTCTCAACAAATGCTTAACAATCAAGGTCACCCAAAGATCTTGTACGACTCCATGAAAATTCTGGAAATTWAATTTTTAGTCTCTCAACTAGTGCTCAAGGATCTGGTCGATTGTTGGTAGCGTGGTTGCCCAGTGGTYTCCCTCCAGTGGAAAAGGTTATTGTTTGTGAATTCTCTCCGCATGGATGCAAACCAACTGGAAACTTTCCAACAACCGTGTTATGTTGATWAATTTTTCTTGGTCAGCTGTGCTCCAGCACCACCTTTTTGGCAACAAATGTTCATCAAAAAGGCCTCACAGTTSGGTCAATGATACTCTTGATGCCTTTGTGCGGCTGAGCTGTCCCTTTAAAGGGACTTTGGAGTATAATAAATGTATTTGTGGTAGTCCTAATGGAAATACAGTACCTTGAGAGCTAAGCCACCTCTGGGGTAGTATGTTGTGTAGAAGGTTTGAGAACCACAGTTCTAGAATGTTCTGGCAACCTTCTTGCCCATGTATAGACTCCTCTCWATGAAATAGGAGACCCACAAATCTTTGGCGGTTGTTGAACCATTTTGTGTGGTTTCAGTTCCAGAGCTGGTTTCTTTAGCCAGATCCAAAGATTGTTCTGAAGTCACGACCACTCAGTTGCCCTAAGGATAGCAAACAGTTAGAATTGGTGGTAAATATAGTCTGTGATTGTGCTGGTTGGAGTTTATTGTAAACAGAATAATGAGACTGGTACATTTGCTACAATCATGACTCCATTGAGGTGCTATCTACCCACTGTATGTTCGTCTCTGTCATCAGCAGTATTCTTTATGAAGTGGTACTGAAGAGATTCTTAGAAACTTATGTAAAGGTTGACAGTGTGTTCAATGCTCCTTAATTGTGCAGCTGTTTGTCAATGCTATGCTATATAGTAGTGTTGTCAGCATTAGTGAAATCTGATTTGTAAGGGTTTTAAAGTCACGTTAGAAAAAATATTTATTTTCTTTTTAAAAGCTATAAGACGAGTTTAGATTGCAGATGTATTCAAGGTTTTAATGAATGGTTAAGTTAGAATTTAATTTAAAAGTCTGTGTTGAAGGAATCTGTAATAGTGCTAATGAGCCAAAACTGGCTGATCAGCCATTCACATCACATTCCTGCCTTTGTGCTTTAATGTTGCTGTGTTCAGCAGAGTACTTAATATTTTTGGTAAAATACTGAATATGTTATGTTAAATGAAGCATCTAATATGAAAACAAAAATTAAAGGAAATCTTTAGATCACTTTGTTAAATTGATAGCCTCTCAGCCCTGCTTCTCTTTGTCCCAATTTATTTTTTGAACAACTTATTATATTTGTAACCTAACAATAACATTTGTTCTAACATGTTACAGGAAGTGCATTAGTAGTGGTTAAAAACGAACCACAAAAAGATCATTATTAAAAAATAAGGAATAGACTAAAACATTTTAACTGTTGTTAAATGTCATTTGTCTCTGTCCCAAATACATGAGTCTGAAAAAATTCTATAGTAAAATGGTCCTTCTAGACATTTCTAAAGTACCTGTTGGTGTTTAAAAATTTAGTGTTGACTGAATACAAGTATTTCATTTTTGTCTTGTATTCTTGCCCAGCTTTGTGGTTATGTCACAATTAACAAAGCTCCTAGAGTATGACTCAAAAAAATACTTCATCAAATAAAAAAACTGAAACACTGATGAAGACGACAAGATGTGTCATTTGATATTTGGTTGGAGGACAGTAAATACTAAAGCTTGAATATTTTTACCTTAGTAATAATACAAAACTGTGGTTTCAAGTTAATCGCCATAAAAACAATAAATACTGTGGCAATAAATTGTTATGATGTAACAATAAATATAACGTTTCAATAAAACCAAGGAATTTGGTAAATCTATCTATCTATCTGTCTATCTGTCTATCTGTCTATCTATCTATCTATCTATCTATCTATCTATCTATCTA